TTCTTTGAATTTTCTTAGCACAAAGTCTACACAATTTATCTACATCAAGAAAGACCGCGTATGTCTGCGTAGTTTTGAATGTCACGCAATCGACACCTTAACGCGCGCCGCTTGAGTTTGGCCGATGCCAAACTGTACATTTTACTTGTGTAAAGAGAGTATTTCTTTCCGAAGCGAAAATTGTATGATGTGGCACTCGAGTGTTAATACTTATTGAACTTCCGAATTTTTATCACTAAAGTTAATAATCATAGTTAGTTCCAGGTCGTTAAGGTTTGTCGCCATAAACGGAGAACATTAAAATGATCTAGGGGGTAAGCAGCAATCTAAATGCTCAGTCCTATTTTGTTTGCTGGTAGAATTAACTGGTCCACTTCGCAGGCAGTCTGCTAACTGTACAGTCGATAATCGATGCACTTAACTGCAGAAAAAAACCAACCAGAGCGGCATAGTACGGAAAAATGCCATTGTACAGAATCAAGAGATGGCATCGGCGATTCTGCTTCTTCGTTCATCGGGATAATGAATGGATGATACCCTGACAGTTCATGAACATGAGAAGACTAATCATGGATCTTGTTATCGAATAAGAGTCGAGTCATGATGAATGTCCTGGTTAGAAGGACAAGTAGCCACATGTCCGGTAAGCTTCAGGTGAGAGAACACCAGATTAAGCGGTGCATTTTTAGATGATATCTTAGCGGCGGAAATATTTCCGATGCTCAGAAGGCCAGCATTTATTGCAGATATAATAAATGCCGATGTGAAAGTCCCCTATAGGAACACACGCAGAAAAAGATAGCAATTCGAATCTAGAAAAGAAGACTTATGACGTAGAAATAATGCAATAAATATGCCAGCAGAGTTTTCATTCCAGAGTTTTGAGGAATCACCGGTATAAAGGTATAAATGTTTTTCAGGAGATGAAATATGCGAAGAGCGATGTCCTACGTTCTGCGGAAAATATCGAATGAGCAAAAAGCTCAACCCCATTGGCTGACCGTTAATAACCATTGGGGAAGAGCGTTATTAAATGAAATTATCTCGTAGTCTTGTTATTGTTTTCAGTATTATCATTATTCAGTATTCTCAGTATTCATTTATGTATCCGACGTGAGATCGGTTTCAATAGAAGCCTAAAAATCTATTAGATAGACTATTGTTCATGCTTAAGCAAAAGCTCCGGATGCATTAAACGGCTCAAACTAACGAAGCCAATCTAATTATCATTTGACGAATATAAGCATCGCTCTCTTGTGTATAAAATAATTCGTGACTGACTTTGGCCTAATTAAATGATGTTTTAATTCAATTTTAGAAAGCAGAAAATCAATAAAACTCAAAGATAACTGGTCATTATAAGGAAATCCCAATACCTTTGATTTGATTTTCTAGTTACCCTGGAAGTACAAAAATACATACGTCTCAAAAATATACAAAGAAACAAAGAAACACTATAGTCGGAAAAACTCGACATATGCACCTTTATAAAATCCATGCCAATTGGAACTAGTACTAGCGTTTTATGTACGCATATATATGTACGTATCTATATAATGGAAGAATTCAGCGTCTATTATCAGGTGCAAAGAGGAAGTGCCTTTTCCCAGACAATGATCACTTAAATCACGAGTATATAATCGAGTTTTTTAACTCTTTATTACGTATTAGTTGTTGTTTACTAAAATACGCTTTTGACATCGCTGCAGTAGATATTACTACCTTGGCAGAACAAAAGTAGATTTGTGTGTAATTATTAGTTATAGTTATTATATTTTATTATTAGTTCAATCATCACTTTTCTAGGTAGCGTTTCGGCCGAAAACGTAGAAATCATGCTGTTTGGTTCACTTTTATCGATCATGTAGAAACACGATTGGCTACAAGCGAGATTAAAATCTACTGCTCTCACTTATTTTTAATTTGAGCATATAGTCTTACTTCGTGTTTATGACGTCGGCCTACTGAAGATGAAAAGCAATTCTCGTGACATAAACAAATTATTTTCCGCTACTGTCACGAACAGCAGTCATACCATAAGCAGCAGTGATCACGGGCCTTTATGTTGTGCCAACCGAGCGATTCCTGTCATGACTTCATCATGTTGCTGGGTGTCGTGTCTAGACGATCATCCTCGTTATTTCGCTATTGTCATCGCCATCCACGTTGTCGCCACTGCAGCAACCGTCGTCGCCTTCAAGTCCGACGTGCCTCGTCTCGCATCCCTGTGGCGCTGCACACGCGGGCGCTTCAATCGCTAAATTGGTGGCAAAAGCAGCGCCAGCCATAGCAGCCGCTTCGGCTGCAGTAGTGGAAATTGAAATGAAAAATAATGACAAAGTTGCCATCGTAATCAGACAAATAACGGCTATGGTCGCTGCGCCGCTGCTACTGTTGATGCTCGTGCCGGTAACAACGGGCACCAAACAGCACGTCAAGCGATATCGCTCTTAACGATTACAGACAGGTGGAGGGCCCGGCGAATATATATAGAAATACACATGCATATGGATATATATAGAGAGAAAGAAAGAGAGAGATAGGCAAGCAATGGCAACAATTTGACATAACAACAACTATAATTGTTATATATACTATACACCAGCGTTAACAGCAATGTGAGCGATAAGATCACGTCACATCCGGTGTGAAAATTCCGCCGCGAGCTGAGTCGTCACCCTTCAATGATGGCAGCGCCAAAAAGAACTGTAACAGCAGCGCCATCTCCTGTCGTGTCGACAGCCACAATTTGGGGGAGGGGGGAGAGGCACGATTTCTACTGGAACTTTCTATTGCACTTTACGATGCTACCTGATGTTTTTTGCTAATGGGTGCCATATGGATAAGTCTTTTCCAGTCAACCCTATTTGCCCCGTTCTTCATTGTTTCCTTGAAGCCCTCTTCGCTTCTCTCAGTAGGGAAGAAGACATCAGCATCGTCACCGATATTATTATTATTATTATTATGATTATTATCATGACCTTTAGTAGTAGAGCATCTTATGGCTTCTTTTTGCAAGAGAAGTAGAAAGGCATAGGTAGACACTGAAAGCCGGCCCGGTCAGCGATAGAAGTTTGTTTCAGGGAAATTCGCCGGCCTTTAGAAGAAGACCTAATAATCGTTTAGGTATGGATCGAGGTGTTGGCTGACGTTTTTTTGATGACGCTGAAAATATCTAAATAGCATTCGAATACAAAGTGCCAGCCGGAGTTGTGTGTAGATTTTCCGTCTACCTATATGTGGGGCACTGGCTTTCAATGGTAATTCCATTAAACGCAATTCGGCACGACAAGAAATTCATAAAACCTGTTTAAAAAATCGAGTATTTGTGGAATCAAAGCAGGGTTCGTTTAATGCCAGCTATTGGCTTTTAGTTGCGATAATTAGGAAAAAGATCAGCTTTTTTTTTAGCAGATGACAAAAAAAGTATTGAAGAAGAGCACGGTCGAAAAAACAGAACTCAAGGATAGAATAACATGAGAATTCCAACGAAACGGCAAAATGCAAAAATTTGCTTCTGTCAATGTGTAAAAACCTAATCCCTATCCTTAGATCATGTCGTCGATGGGTGTTTTATCAATGTTAGTTTCGATTATTTCTTTAATATTTTCACGTGTTCCATTATACAGAATATGCTTTGTTTTTAAAACTGTATTCAATTAACAGCAGATATTTCAAGTTTTTTTTTCTGATTGTTATTCTTGTTTAACATAGCTATCATTCGCTGCGATTACAGCTCCAGCTTGGGACCTAAATTATTTTTATAATATTTTGTAATATATTATTATATGCTGATAGCAAGGCAGAGCTCTTCAAAACACAAAAAGAAAACCACAATTGCCAAAAAGCCTATAACGTGCAAAAAAAGTCCCAAAAAGACTAACCGTTGGAGGTTATTTGGGCGACCCAATCAGTAGTTGATATTCTTCTCTCTAAAACAACCGTTAATTTTAGTATAAAAATCCAGGTGTGTCAAAAATCTTTTTTTAGCCTCTTTGATAAATTTTTAAGCATATTATATCTAAAGCCGGTTGAAGATATTTCCTTGGTTTACTTCCGGAAAATCTTCCTCGGGCTCTTTCAGGTTCAGTAGCCGCATGAAAACTGGCAATAACATAGGTCGTCGATCTTAATGTAGGTGCCGCACCCTAATATGCTAGCTACTTAAGTCGTTTTTCGATCTGAACCGCCGGCTAGAACGATTCGGTCTGCCATTTAATTTCGTTCTTTCTAAATTGATTCTTGGAGCGTCAATAAAATACAATGCGCTAATTTGTCGCTCACCCTCATCGGTCACGGATCGAGCTATTGTGGCAGGCTTTACAAACAGGGGTATAGTCGAAAGCAGGGTGAAAAGTTTTTACATTATCGATGACAGCCATTTTTTTGGCAATGTTTGTACACTGAACGAAGCTTAGAGTCGGAATATTCATTGGGTCAACCATTCAGAAGTAGTGCTCAGGATTCGGATTTCACTTATTAGTACCTAACGGAAGTTATTTTTTAAAGTTCTTTCGAATTAATTATACTCCTTATTTTCATGCAAATTTGTTATGTGTTCGTTTGGATGCTATTCTAAAGGCGACGGAAATGTATTGTTTGTCCTAGGCCTTTCTTGCAAATCATTCTCTTTCTAACTGCAACAGCGTTGATATGGCTTGCTCCAAAAAAGAAAAGGTGTTCCACAAAATATGTTGAGCCAATTTTGTTTTTAAAACCTTTAGCTGACCAGAATCCACACTGGCTGGCTGGGATCTATTGACCCCAATCAAATTTGATGCGTACGCTATGGTAAACCTCTGATATGGTCAACATTCTACTTTGGCCAATGGTAGCTGTCTGTCACATACTATACTGTTCTATGGTGGGATTTCAGTTGCTATAGCTTGGACACATCTAAAAATGATCTAGTGATCCGGAGAAGAGTTTTTGAGAGGCCAAATTAACGCACACCGATGGGGCCGAACGATACGTTGACAGTCAGTGTAACGTCGGATCCAACATCGACGACTAAACGGACGATACTGCCGAAATTCGGATCGACTAACGAATCTCGTTCCATCGCTGTTTGCCAACCCGAAATTTCGTTCAATCATATCACCAACTAGAAGTAGACGTGGTAGGCATTTACGGAGAAATAAGTCGTATTCACCTCCGGGTTCCTCACCTCACCAGACGAAGACCTACCTGACTATGTGTAGCACCTGTGGGAGCGGCATAAGAATGAGCGCATTTTTTAACCTAACTGAAAAAAGGTAACCTTGCAAATCTGCTAGGGAAAACTTATTTTCCTGTTGTTTTGGAGACGGATACAAGAAATAGGTTGGCTTACAAACAATGTGTTTAGATCACAGCCATCTACCACCATTAAGGCTTCACTAAGTGCAGAAAAAAAAACATAGGGAATACGATCAAATGACAATGAACGAAATGTACAGATGATATGAATGAATGAATTTTATAGTATATTTGAGCTAGCATCAAATAAAATTGAAATACACAGAATTATTTTCAAAATATACCATAAAGTAACAATGTACATAGTTTAGTAAGATATCCAAGAGAGATTTAGATAAACAATAATAAAAACTCTTATATTCTTTGAAACACACATAGCTTTATTTTTCTTTAAATTTCGCATTCAACCAAGAATACACTGGAATGGTTGTCACATTGTTTTTCATTTGTTTTTTCTTCGTTTTTTGTTAATAATAATAATAATAATAATAATAATTGCTAGTTACCAACGATAACAACAACAGCGACGGTAGAGGAGGCATCGCTCGCACACTTTTGCACGTTCCTGAACTTTTATATTTTACATAATGTATAATTGGCAGTAGAACCGAAACTTGAAAATAGCATCTATCTATCTATCTCAACGAATTGGTAGTGTCCTTTTCGCATCTACAATCAGGTCTGTTAATAGCCTGGTCGTCCGTTAACATGCCGGACCAACTGTCTGATGGCTATAGTGCAAGTAACGTTTGCATCGTTGGCCCTACAGAATATGCGCCTGATCGTCAATAAACAGTGCTATCTAGTTTAATTTATCATCGACACTCATAACACGTTTAGTAATTGCAGGACCTTTTTTGCGGTGAAGGAACAATTTACGATTACAGTTAGGGTAATGAGCCAAAGGTATTTTCTTTTTTGTCTTGTAGCATATTAGGATAGCGATGAGCGATAACAGAAACTAGCATCGCCAATTGTGCGGAATATAGACTAACTAATATATAGGACAAAAGTCCGGCCCTGCTACAACAAATGGTACACGCCTGCGTGAATGACTGCTTCGGCCTTAACGGGTCCTGACAAGATACCGGGACCAGCCCTACTTTTTGGCAGCGGACTTCTTCGTATGTTATAGTAATTTCTAGGTACGACTAGGCTGAGTGATTACACGCTGTATACCATACTCGGCAATGCTCATGATGTTCATATATATATATCGTATTTTACAATTTGTAAAATGATTGGGATCGGGTCAACTTTTACTACGCAATATAATAATAAACTACATAATAAGCCTGCCAATAAATGATATTCTCTTCCAGCAGACGGGTCCAGTTGAAACGGCTCATCAAGACCTGATATATAATAGGAAAGTACATAGAGTAACTGTGTACATGTGAACAGCAACTGACATCAACGGTACGTAACGTATGAGAATAAGAGTCAGCGATACTAATCGTATGATTTTCAACACCAGTCGTTATTGCGTTCTTCATGTAGACCAACAGACATATTATAGTAACGCACGCTTCATATTTCAATAGTGGCCTAATTGACTTGTGATGTTTACTTAAGGCTCCGTTTCAGATGAAGGGCCGTCTCACAGGGCAAAACACTCCAGATGCAGTCGGCACAATTATAGCAATTAAACTATGAGACAGTACTAATAACAACATAAAGATGATTGAGATAATTGCAAGCAATGTTATATGAAAGCTTACATAGACGTGTAACACGCATATCCGCGTATAAACACACACACGCACGCACGCACGCGTACACATATATGTAGTGAAACATTGTCATGGGCGTCATAACCGAAACCTAAAGTCGTTTGCAGCGAAAGTAAGCCACGAGATATACTCTATCATCTTAACCGACGTCTAGAGATTTTCCAACGCTCGGGTCTCAGCATTTTGATGCGATGTTCGTTTTAGTCGATGTTACTTGTTCGGAAGTGACGAAATCGAATCGGGTCGTATCCTTTTAACCCCTCATGTATAATTTGCATTGTTTCTCATATCTGAGAACTCATTCTTGCATGGTAAATCTGCGACATGATCACTAGCCCAAGATATACTTAAATCGAGACAATGAAGGGAGCTGGGCGAATGGACCTTCGATTAGCGAATTAGTCAGAAAACGTTATCAAATCACTGCTCTATCCTTAACGGCTGTTTACCCTTGCTTCGATATACTTGAATTATCTGCGTGTATTTCGAATATAAAAAAAAATACATGCAGGGCATTTGAAGCATACAAACAATCGTCCCTTTTCAATTAGACTAGATTTGAAACATGAATTAAACATTGGCATTTAACAGCATCAATATATCTACTCATGAACATGTTTGCAATCGGTACGGAAATGTACGTCATCGTAACGCTGTTGATGATCCAAATTGTCAACTGCAATAGTTTCTATGAAAAAAAGTAACTACGTCACTGAACGGGCTATAATTTAGCCTGTCTTTTGAAAAAAATAAGCAGCATTAGTTACCGCATCTCGTGGCCTATCGCACATACTGGACGCTGCGAACTTATGCAGTGTTAACAAAAACAAGTCACGCTCGCTTCTAACAATTCTCGGCAACAAAATACGGGTCGCTATTTATATGTCAAGAATACTCGTATCCAATGTATAATACATCACGCGAAAAAGACGAATGAAGGGTTCGGTCCTTGTTGAACGAACGGTCCGCAAAGCACTATAATACTCGCAGTAGATATAGGAAAAATCGCTCTTTTGTAGCATAAAAATGCGATAGAAAAAAATTACCGGAGTACTTTTATCATTGAAGTCGCTTGAAAACTAGCTGAAGCATCGATGAACTCCTACAATATATATAATGCCTGGACAGAAATAAATCAAATAGCGGCTAGATAATTGCGATAATCGAAAGGGAACGATTTACTCTTTTGCACGTCAATGAAGCTGGTCTTTTTGTGCCCTATCATATTGACCCTTGGCTGTACTAACGAGTCAGTCTATTAATACCTTTTATGAAAATATTAATGGTATCCAAATAACCTTTATCTTCGCATATACAGTATTGACATAAGTAACACTTATGTGGTCACTTAGATCAGTGGGAACAAAATCAAAATTGGTCACTGGTTTGACCTCATCGAACAATGGGCGTGCATTGTTTTGCTGAACAATCGCGTCGACAGCCCTTGTTGTCCCTACAGGATACCACACTACGTATAACGGGAATAAACATTTCATCCAAATATAGAATAATAAACGTATTGAGTCACAACTCGTTTCACAAACAAATGCCGAGTGTTACTGCCGAAGGATCAAAACGTACGCAATACAGCATCAAAAATGCTATGATGCTCTTTTCAACTTTGTTCCTATAAGGACAAATGTGAACCATCGGCAGACATCTAGCAAACAGTATATTTGTTGTGCTATCCCTCAGCAGGTAGGGAAGGACGCGCGTATTCAAAATTGACGCTTAGCAATATCAGCATTGCAGGAAAAAACCTATTCATCTATTGACGGGCTGAAATATTAACGGATCGCTTAGCAGTAGCGCTTCTCGTCCGTACCAATGTTTGTCATCCAGTTCATTTTCGCTCAGTCGTGTCGCGCCATACGATAGTATAGGCGACTTCAACGTGTTTCCAGAACAGCCTTTACATAGAGGGGAAAATCCCATAACATTTCTCATTTGAACCCACGGTCAGATTACCAGCCATGATGTATAGGCTTGTTTGTCTTCATGTAGACTGGCACAGGCACGTAAACAGGTTTTTTGACTATAACATTCTTATAGATGGGTACCTCAACAGGCACATGGAATGGTTTTGGCACTGTGATCACTTTGTGCACCTTTACTGGGTAGTATTTGGGAATCTTAAGCGGCACAGGTATTGTGATGACTTTATCCACCGGCATACTACGATAGATCGTCACCGGATGATGCTTGAACACAGGATACGGTATGCCAAAGTTGACAAAATGATGCGAGAAGCTTGGCTTTGGTATGCCAATCATTTTATGATCCTTGACGAGCTTCGGGACCTTCCTCACAACGGGTACTTTGACAGGCACTGAAACAGGCTGAGGTACATGTACCACCTTCTTCACCGGATAGTACTTCGGGACAGAGACATGTTTCGCCACTGGCACTGGAACATATACAGGAATTACCTTATGAACGTATTTAATCATTTCGTCCGCTTTCCAGCTTCCATGGCTTGGGCCGCCATCACGGTGTCCAGCGTTTCCAACAGTGGCTACCGTTAACAGCACCATCAAGACCACCCACATCATCGCTGTTGTTTCAACACACCAAAAACACTATAAAGCTGTTCCTCGAAGCCAAACAAACACAATGAAACACGAGTTTCCAATCCCGCAACAGCAACTCTGTATCTCGCGATGACTATCTTGACAAGATGCAAAATAACTGGCGGCTAATAATCGAACCAAGTTATGTGGAGAGAAGGGGAGGGTCTAGGCAAGACGTGCCACACAAAGAACATGTATACAACTGCAGTCACAATCGGCCATCGGCGACGACAGGCGACTGGCGTTGTTCCGCGTGCATTTACGAAGAAACTGCGACGGGAAACGCGGCGCAGGCCGTTTTCGTGTCCCGACAGCGTGCGGCCCTCGCCGGAAAAGAGGCCCGGGTGCTGGCCGGGAGAGAGAGAGAGAAAAGAGAAACTAAGAAGGGAGGACTTCTAGTAGAAAAAAAGTTAAGGGGTGCGCGTATGCTTAGCTACAACGAACTTCGACACCCCCGCAGCTTCCTAGCCACCCTGTTACACTTTACGGGAGCTAGCTATGTCAACAACACAGGTACAACAACTGACCAAGTTAGAGTCAAAATATAATATCCTCTCCGCTTGAATGATTATCATTAGCGTCCCAGTCAGCGTAGTATCGAACGACCCATCACCAGCTCATACCTCTTCACTGTGTATTACAATTTATCGGCTGAGGTAGCGCAGAATAGACGCTACTACTCAGCAGCAGCGGTATTAGTAATATTAAGAATAGAAGGTGCAACGTAACGAAAGATGCGAGGTAAAGAAAGCCAAAAAAATCTAATGCAGGTGAAAGATGATCAGAGTACCGGACATTATCACGACGTTCGATCTCATTCGGGCCAACGTCGCAAATGTTAGCTACTGCGAGTGCAGAGGATTCGTATCATAGATCTAAGTGCAATTGTACCTACAACAGGAGAGTAATTATATTAATATAGTACTTATTATGAGAAGCATACATCTATATATAACTGCACGATAAAGGTCAAAGTTTTTCAGGACTTTGGAATTCAGGATGTAATCATAGCATAGCGAAGCTGTTACACGATCCTGCCTTGTCCGGAGTATGGTGTCGTCGTTTGAGCCTCCAGGCTGACGCGTTGGGTAAGTATCTCAAGTATTGTTGTTATTAATGAACTTCCTATTTTTTTTCTATTATACCCATCATGCAGGTAGAATTATCACCTTATATAAATTAAAATAATCCTTACTAATTATTATATTATATTAGTAAGGATTATTTTTGTCGACGTTAATCGCTAATTTGTGAGGGACGATACTTTGATGTAAGCGTTTAAGCATCAGTCGCATTCGCATACACATAGTCGTATTCGATTTACTTTGTGGCTATTTTTACGGGATTAGCTAGATTTACGGGAATGAGATTCACAATTTTGTTCAAAAAAGCGAGCCCGTATTAGACGACCAAAATTTAGAGAAACAAACTCGTTTTTTCCAAATTTCGGTTAACCTCAGCTAGACCCCACGATACCATACTACGATGGAGGTAGCGGATTTTTTTGTGTTAGTCATCGAAAAAGATAGAAAAATTATTTAGTAGATTTTAACATCTTTCTAATCAGGCCACCACAACGCCAAGGTGTCTTTGTGTTACCCCGGGGGAACACGCGCGGGTTTAACTGACAGGTTTCAACCTAGACCCGAATTTTGAGCCAGAATTTGCTACAATGTCCCATCTTCTTGTGTTAGTAGAACTGTTTCGTTGTTCGAGCCATTCCATAACTTTTCTGAGCTATCGATGTTTTAGCATTTCAACCAATTACCGTGATTCAAACCTGCTACGTATGCAAAACTATGATTGAACAATTGCATTGGGGTCTAGAATTGGCCGGAAATTTATCGATGGAAAAAATTCCATTAGAGAAAAGAACGGCGAAGATACTGACCACCCAATTGTACGATTATACTCTAGTTTATCTGTAACGTATGTCCCATCTCTTTGATTCTATTGTTCCCATTATGCTACACCTGTCAATATGTTACCGTCAAGCTGACTTTGCCGTTATTCCGCTGTCGTAAGACGAAACAAACACACAAAATGGGGTTACATAGAAATATTAAAACCCTAATTTAGCAAATAATATAAAAACGTTGATATTTTTCAACTGGTTTTTCTCTGAAGGTGTCATCGTATTCGACTCTACGACAGGGGATGAAAAACATTTTTTTTTTGATAATATAATTTTTGTGGAAATTGCATGGATAGGATTGGCTAGAAATTAACAAACTTTTCTCGTGAAACAGTCTATAAATGATCAAGCTTTGTTAGGGATACTGCCCAAAAAATTGTTTTTCTCCCGACTGCATTAATGTCATTTAATATTTTTTAGGACAAGATGAGCTTTTCAGCGATGCTGTTATCGAGTTTTTACGTCTCGATAATAGCCTTTTTTAAAATAGGCGTTCGTCGTATCGTGCGGCCGAATCAATAAAATTTCGGTTCAATGCAGATAACAGCATTTGTGTTAATTACCGTTCTTGAAATCCTAGAGTTACTTTACTAATAATTTACGTTAATCATAATAGTAGACCACACATGTATTGCGTTGCGTAGCGAAAACAGAGCAGCTCGTAGATAGTCCTTGTTTTTTCCAAAATATGATCATACAGAACTTCTCTTGTGACGTTGTGGTGAAGAACCTAAGTGTACATATGATTCCTGAACGTGAATTGTTTCCCTATAACGAAATCTGTTTGAAGTTACGCTCACCGTCACTAATTAGCCATGTAGCGTACCTCACCCCCCGGCTTTCGCTTTTTTCTTCAATTCTTCCCCATTCGTTGTATTTCGCCACGCTACGGACGGAGGTGACGGAGTCTCTCGTGCGTCGCCCCGTTACCGCGAGGCTGCCACTGTTCGTATGCAAACCGTCGTTTAATCTTCTTTAACGAGCCATATTATCTCGCTGTCGCTTCGTGCATTGTCCTACTGATATAGCTCAAGGGGTCGAGTTTTTGCTAGGATGGCCAGTCTCTGTAGTCGAGGCACTAAATAGTCAACAATGTTCGCATTTATTCGCCCTAGTGGGCAAATACTTGGAAACAATTTGAGTCGCCTTGTCTTAGCGCGCGCGGCATCGTCCTACGGCGGCGACGACAACAGCAGCAGCGAATACGATAGCCAGAGTGATCAGAGCCACTACTGACGCCAGGCTAACTTATCTCGCGAATTTTTGATGTAGCCAAGTACAATTTCCAACTTGAAAATAGATTTCTGTTCCTCGCTTTCGAGGATCTTCCAGAAAGAAAAGAAAGCAAAGTGGTTGTGGGGGTAGAAGCGACTCAAGTAGGAACGTCGTTTTCGTTGTCCCTATGAAAATTGATGACATTCCTACTGCAGCCGTTGGCGGATAAGGTATAGTGAAAATGGCTTCTGATACCGCAGCGTAGCTAACGCCGGTTATAACCACCAGCTGCAGGCAATTACGGGTGTTTGTACAAGAACTATAACGCTCAACTACGGCCGTAATCGTATGAAGTCTAGTGGCAGACATGGTCCTGACCGACCGCCATGGCCGAGCAGATGTTGCGTGCGAAGACTCTACGCGTTTGTCTGTATGCGTGTTGGTTTGTGTAGACATGCGTATAGCACTCCGTATCGATGTGATGTTGTACTTTCAACTTCAGTCGGGCAAACCGTTAAGCACATACACATCGGCGTTGCTACACACGTAAGCGGCAGACGGGTAAGTGGCGTATGCAGCGCCAGCAGCAACAGCGGTAGCATAAGTTACGGCAGGGATTAGTCTGAAAGGCCTCACGCCACTCCCTCCCTTTCTCCCTCCCTCCCTCCTACATAAAAACTGACGCAGACGATGCGCGATATTTCACAGTTTACTCAGATGTCATCAAACTGCTAAAATTGAAGTTCCGACAACTCCACTCGTCTTGGCAGTCGGTCTTGCCGGCGCGATCGAAGTTGCTTCTGCTTTCGACAGCCGCCGGCATTGATCAGGGCGAAGATGAAAAGACTAACATTGAAGAAAACTATGATGATGGTGCTAGCCGATCCCTATGATACTAGTATTACAATAACTGTTAGTACCGCGATTATGCGTCGTCGTTGTCGGGCTGGCATCAAGTCGGAGACAGCTTGCCGGGAACGACCATGTTATGGTACAGAAGAGAGAATAGAACACGGACATACTACGGTCTTGCTAAACTGCCATTTCACATATGCCACTGTTCCCCCCCCCCCCCCCAAATGGAACAGAGCAGCTACGGCACGATCCAACCGATGCTGGTTATCCGTCGGCGCGATGAGCTGGTTCCGTAGCGAAACTATTTTGCCGAGGCGGCCAATGACAATGTTTTTATCACTCGCTACTGATAGTAGACAATGACGTGACAGAAAAGTAGTCCGCTATTAACTGCTACCGTTGTTGTGGGAGATGATGACGGCTGCAAAGCAGACTACAATAACAAGTCGGTACGGAGGAGTAGTCAATGGCAGCATGGATGACAGTGGCGCCATATCATATGTACGTGGCGCTATTATAGTTCTACTGGCACTCGTTCGTGAAACTCTCTACAAGTTGTTTTGAATTTTCTATCACAATTATCGAATCGTCGTCGTTGGATAGCGGCAATATTAGTACACTGATGGGATCAAGGGGTGATTCGTCCCATCGGTATCGCGTAACGTGAACGTATTCGTTAACACAGAAATCGGGTGAGCCATAGGATTTTAGACAGATCAGGGAGTCGTGATTCATACTTGTAAAATAGCCGAAAATATACAAATGATTGCAATAAAGAACCGATTGAGCTGGACACTACATTTGTGATAAAGGTGCTCTATTTCTATATCTTTATAGTACTGGCGTACACCTAAAATGCAACGGCTGTAGTAATAAATAGTATGCTTATTTAAATGCTTTATTGATTAATGTCAGAGCACCTTATAGCATTGTGTTATCGGAATACAGGCAGTTAAATGAGAAAAAAAAACTAGGGTTCCTTTGAGTTGTACCACTAATCCTTGCAATCACTATCTTCGCTACTTTGACAGACATGGAATGAAGAACTTTATCAACAATATGACCTAGTGTTTCTCTTTATATGTTAATACGACCTAGTAAGTGTTAACTATATGCACGGTTCATTGACTATGGGAATCGGTGCTGTAGGACGCTGGAGTACCCAAACATCGTGAAGGCTCTTACGTAAGCCAGCTAGCTTCAGCTGTACGCTGCAGTGTTTTTTTTTTTGCTTTTAGGGGAAGGGATCTTGCCTAGTGCTTATTACATCCGATCTAGAATGTGTCTCCTATGTGTGTACCAAATGGACCAGATCCATCAAGC